AAGAAAAGAAAAGAAAAGAAAAGAAAAGAAAAGAAAAGAAAAGAAAAAGAAAGGAAAGAAAGGTGAAAAACAAAAAACTAGCCGTACCCCCCCTCGATTAATGCTACTTTGTATTTTTTTGTTTTCTCTTTCTGTCTGTCCGTCTCACGATCCCGTGTTCCCCGCTGTGCTCGCTCGCCCTGCTCACCTGCCCTGAACCAACTACGTAAAAAAGTACGTAGTGAAGTGTGTGATTGTCGCCATTAAAACGATCGGCAACATTATGTTGGTCACCTATCTCCTTCAGTTCATGTTCGCTGTTATCGGGGTACAGCTGTTTAAGGTAAAACCAATCACCACAACTTTAGAAAGTTTAAACTAAGCCAACGACGAACTCCTCTCTTCTTTTTCTTCCGTTTCTACTTCTTCTACTTCTTCTACCGCTACATCTGTCTCTCTACTTTTTTCGTTTCTGTACTCGTTCGGTCGACGTTTCGTTTTTTCATTCTTCTTTTTCGCTATTCTCATTTTGTCTGGTTTCTTTTCTTCGTCGTTGCTGTACGTCGCGATCGTCGTCGAACGATAGATCTATCGTCGCGATCGAAAGCGTCGAAACCCGTGGATCGGATCTCGGTCCGGAAATTCGAATTTCCTTGGCGAAACACGGGGAAGCGGCATCGCGCGAATCTTCTCGATCGTCTTTGATCGTTGTTCGTTTAATCGAGTTCGCTTCCCCGAATTTCGCGAAACGCTGCACGCACCGTTGCACGGTCGCAACGCTCAGGAAGATTCTTGCACGGCTCTAGAAAGGACAATATCGGCAATCAACGGATCGAACCGACGACGAAGAACCGTGTAGCGAATCTTTATCGATCGATTTTCGGAGAAATGGTACGAAATTGAGACATCGATCGATCGCGAAGCTGCTCCGGTTGTTGCCCATATTATCCTTTGCGAAGATCGTTTGCGTGCACGACGAGCGATAACGCACCGTCGAGAGTAACCTCTAGACTCGGTGACGCGAATCGCGTTGTCCGCGATCCAGTTGTTCGCTTCGGCGAGAAAATAAGGCGGAGATAGATCGTCGAGCGAGACTCGTTACACGATTCAACGAACGCGTCGTAGCCGTCGTACTCGAGATAGAAACACTTTCAACGAAATAGACGCATGCTAATTTCGCTGTGTACGAGAGAATGTTGCTTTGATCGTAGTGCATGGCTCCGTAGCGTAGGTCGTTCGAGTGCACCGAAACCACGAAGCGTCGTTTATTATTCGAGTCGTTAGCATCGAAACTCGTCGAAATAAAAACTCGACGAACGAAATCGTAAAGCGTCTCGTGGTTGCGGTTCGCACGGTTAAAGAACGAACGTTGCATGAAACTCGTTCCCCGTTGTGTTCCGATCGTAATTCTGTAACCGTACTAACGGTGAACGTTGTTCCGATCGTTAACGAACCAGAGAACACGCATTCCTTCACCCACGCACACGAAATCCAACCCTTTGACAGGGAAACGAAAAAAAGGGATTACCAAGAAACCCACGTTGCACTCGGTGTTTTTTTTCGTTAATTAGTCGACAAATCGAGACGAGAATGTAACCGGCGCGAAACCGATTTCGTTCTCTTTCGTTTCGAAGAAGAAAAGAGCAAAAGAAAACGTCGACAAACAGGCCTTTCCGTACATGCGTACGGTGTTCCTACAATAGTTTCGTAACACTCCCGATAAATAATTGTGCGTTTACCACTCCTCGAAGCTCGAACCATCTCTCTCTTTCGTCCGCGACCGTTTAACTTTCGGATCAGAACAGACTCTCGCGAGTAAAATTGCACGAAGGAATTCCGTAACGCTTCGACGAGACAAATTTCTTCTCTCGACGAGCTTTATCGTCGATTCGACAAAACCGTAAACGCGACGCGAGAGAAATATCGCCGAAGCGCATTTTCCGGACTTTCGATTCGAGGGTCGCGTTTGGTAGGCTAAACGCGAGATGCCTGCGCCACGCTCTCACCTTTTTCTTTCTATGTACATATTATACATATACAAACATATCATACGTATTATAAATATCATACGTGCACGTTAAACGGAATGTTTTATTTCTCTATCGTTTCTCAATTTGTTTCTTTGATCTTTCCTTTACTTTGCTCGATATCACTCGCTGCTATTCACTTCGCTCGAAACTCTAGAATGGCCAATTAACTATACGCTATTTTTCGTTATTTTTCATCGATGAACGTTGTCGACACCCTTCGAATTCGATGCGGAGAGAGTTTGCCCGCAAACGATCGGGATCGGAGTAGAGTATCGATTCGCGAAATCGGAAGAAGAACGGTGTCGATAGGTTCAACGGCGTTTGAAACGTTACGCGAAGCCTTAAATTGCACGGTGATTTGCCGCGAGTTAACGAAATTTTTGTGTTACACAGGGTAAATTTTTCTCTTGTTCCGATGCATCGAAAATGACGAAGGACGAATGTCAGTAAGTTAAAAATTTGCGAATACGTCGAGTTATCGGATGCGTGAAAATGGGCGACGGTTGATCGTAACGTCTTACGTTACCGCTTTCAGGGGTACCTACCTAGAATTCGAAAACGGTAATATCAATAAGCCGGTGATGAAGGAGAGAACTTGGGGCCAGAATCGTTTCCATTTCGACGACGTGGCGAAGGCGATGCTCACGCTTTTCACCGTATCCACGTTCGAAGGCTGGCCTTCGTAAGTAAAATCTTCGAATTTTATTTCTTATCCGGTACGTATCGCCGTGATGTCCGAGCAATATTACACGCGTTCGTAAGCGCGTGTCAAGGAAAATAGCGGCGCGTCGAACACTGGATATAGAGTTTTCTCTCTCGACAGATTGCTAGACGTGTCGATCGACTCTAACAAGGAGGATCACGGACCAATTCATAATTTTCGACCGATAGTGGCCGCGTACTACATCATTTACATCATTATCATAGCATTCTTCATGGTGAACATCTTCGTTGGTTTCGTTATTGTCACTTTCCAGAACGAGGGTGAGCAAGAGTACAAAAACTGCGAGCTCGATAAAAATCAGGTAAGCGAGGCTAATTTCGAAATTTTTTTCGTAAGAGTTGCTCGCGATTCGTGAGGCGTGTCAGTAAGAAGAATCGTAATTTCCGTAGCGGAACTGCATCGAGTTCGCGTTAAAGGCTAAACCGGTGAGACGATACATACCGAAGCATCGAATACAGTACAAAGTGTGGTGGTTCGTCACCTCGCAGCCGTTCGAGTATACGATTTTCACCCTGATCATGATCAATACCGTCACGTTAGCGATGAAGTTTTACCGGCAACCGGAAATCTACACGGAAGCGTTGGACGTTCTCAACATGATCTTCACCGCGGTCTTTGCCCTCGAGTTTATCTTCAAGCTAGCGGCGTTTCGATTCAAGGTACTTAACTCGGATAACTCGGATAAAACGCGGAAAAGTTTAACGCGAACGTTTCCCGTAGAATTACTTCGGCGATGCTTGGAACGTGTTCGACTTCATAATCGTGCTCGGAAGTTTCATCGACATCGTCTATTCGGAAGTGAACGTGAGTTCCCCTTAAGATTCGTAACCTTTCCGCTTGTTGCTAGTACGGTTGATCGAACGAAAAGCGAAATTTTCAGCCCGGCTCGACCATCATTTCCATCAACTTTTTTCGGCTGTTCCGCGTAATGAGATTGGTCAAGTTGCTAAGCAGAGGGGAAGGTATCAGAACGCTTCTCTGGACATTCATAAAATCGTTTCAAGCTCTGCCGTACGTAGCCCTACTCATCATAATGTTGTTCTTCATTTACGCCGTGATAGGAATGCAGGTAAGCGATCTTGAACGTTTTCGATAAGCGCGTTTATATTTCACTTCGATATTCGTGTCCACAGGTGTTTGGAAAAATCGCTATCGACGACGAGACATCGATAAACCGGAACAATAATTTCCAGTCGTTCCCGCAAGCGGTATTGGTCTTGTTTCGATCGGCTACAGGTAAGCAAGATCGTCGAAATCGTCGAAATCGTCGAAATCGTCGAGCAGAACGATCGGTAACGTTAATCGATGTTACGCAGGAGAGGCTTGGCAAGAGATCATGATGGACTGCTCGGCGCAACCGGGCGTAGTGAAGTGCGATCCGAAGAGCGACGAAGAATCCAATCAGAATGGCTGTGGATCCGACATTGCATTTCCCTACTTTATATCTTTCTACGTTTTATGCTCTTTCCTCGTAAGCGAAACTAATTCGATTGGACATAATTCGACGCGATACGAACTGTCCCTTCTTTTCAGATCATCAATCTCTTCGTCGCCGTGATCATGGACAATTTCGATTACTTGACGAGGGATTGGTCCATCCTGGGTCCGCACCATTTGGACGAGTTCATTCGCCTCTGGTCAGAGTACGATCCCGACGCGAAAGGCCGTATCAAGCATCTGGACGTGGTCACTCTTCTCCGAAAGATATCACCGCCCCTAGGTTTCGGTAAACTCTGTCCTCACCGAGTCGCGTGCAAAGTTAGTATCTCTTAGTCGATCAAAGTTAGTTAAGATTACATATTTTTACGCGGATCTCGATCGTCTTCAGAGGCTGGTCTCGATGAACATGCCGTTGAACAGCGACGGCACGGTTTTGTTCAACGCGACTCTGTTCGCCGTGGTGAGAACTTCGCTGCGAATCAAGACCGAGGGAAATATCGACGACGCGAACGCCGAGCTCAGAGAAGTGATCAAGAAGATCTGGAAAAGGACTAGTCCGAAACTGTTGGATCAAGTAGTGCCGCCACCAGGAGGTACTTGTCGCTTAAAATTTACCCGACCGATTACGATCTCTCGAAATATCGCGCGAAACGCTGACCACAACTTGTACGACAACTTTTAGGCGACGACGAAGTAACCGTCGGTAAATTCTACGCCACTTTCCTCATTCAGGACTACTTCCGAAGGTTCAAAAAACGCAAAGAACAAGAGATGAAAGACGGAGATAAAGAATGCCACAATACCGTAACGCTACAGGTAACTAGCTGTCTCGAAACAAGCGATCAAAGCGCGTTTACGGATTCGCCTAACCATCCGCGTTCCTTTAAAGGCCGGTCTTCGAACCTTGCACGAAGCTGGACCCGAACTGAAGAGAGCCATCTCCGGTAACCTGGAGGAACTTTTGGACGACAATCCGGAACCTATGCACAGGGTATCGTAAATCGAGACGCCTGGCCACTCGATAATATTTCATCTCTTCTTTTTTTTTCTTTTTTATAGAGAAATCATTCGCTGTTCGGAAGCGTCTGGTCGAGCATGAGAAAAGGACATCACGGTTTCAATCGAGCCAGGTCGCTGAAAGTAAACTCGACGACTAAGGTAACGATTTATCTCACGAAACGGTCTCGAACGAACTGATTCGATGATCCGAAACGTTTCGCGTTACGTTTTCTAGGCATCTCCGACGAATTCCATCGATTTCCTGCCATACTCGTCGCTTCAGAGAACCGTCGGTCCCGATGCACCGAATCAGATAACCGCGAGGTCGCATCAAGTCGTGCCAAACGTAGCAGGGTTAGTTTCCGTTCTCGAAATCGATCGATCGAACGACAACGCTCGACGAAATTCGACGTAACTGACCGTAATCGAAAACGTGCGTACGTGTTTTAGTGGTTTGAGCGACAGCGCGATGAATCAGATGGGTATCGACGCGAAACTCACCGGTATCGAGGAGAGCATTCCTCTGAGACCATTGGCCGCGTTCGGAAATCCCGTCCAGCAACAATCAACCTATCATCCATCTTACAAAATGGTCGAGTAAGTACTCTTCTAGCGGTGGTCTGAAGAGTTTCTCGTCGTCGGAAATCGCGTCGTAACGCGCTTTATCCGCGAGATTGACCGTTAGAGGACCGCGTAGAGCGTAAAGGATCGCGTCGGGGGATAGAAGATAATTTTTTACGATAGAGATCCGCCCGCGAATTTCTGCACCCTCCCTTGGTAGCAATTTTTTACGGTTTTCTGTTTACTCTCGTACGTTTCAGCGGTCCAGGTAGCGGTAATTATCTTCATCCGAATAACGAATACGGTAAGAAAAGTTAGGGATGTATGGGACTCGATAGTCTGCTTTTACTTGATCTACGTCTGACGACGTAGCATTATTTTTCGCTTGCGTGCTTGCATGCGTATCACTAACCGAACCGTACCAAACAACAGCAAAACGGAGACTTTCGACTCGATCGCGAGAGTCCTTAACGTCGCGAGAACCTTGAGAATCGACGAGGAATCGGCGAGGTTTCGAACGAACGATTGCATGCCGTTCGTTTTCCTTTATTCTTTCTCTCTCTCTTTCTGTCTATCTCTGTCTCTACCTCTGTTCCTCTCCCTGTCTATTTCTGTTCCTGGCTATGGGTAGGATTTCTGGCTTGCGCCTCGGACGCTTCTCGATGCCGCGATTTCGTCGAGCGCCTGGAGCGCGCGATTCGCTCGAGGTTCTCGAGGACGCGACGACGGTTCCGTGCGTATCGTGTTTCGCTAACAAACTAAGAGAGTGGTTTTTTGCCCGTTCTTTTTTATCCCCCGCGTCGCGTGGTGCGTCGACGTCGACGTCGTCGCGGCTGCTATCGAAGCAGTGTTCAGGACGGAATCGAGCGGCGGCAGCTGACC